GGGTGACAGCACGAGCACTGTGGAGCTGTGATCACCCCCCTGTTTGGTGCAGGTGATTCTGGACCAGTTCAACCCCGGCCTGAGGAGTTTTGTCACGATGGGGAAGAGTTACCAACGAGCACTCTCAGGTAAACCGTGATTTCCCCACGGACCCCCCAGCCCATCCCAGCCCTGGGGCCAGATGGGAGCCAGCGCCCCCTAGAGGGGAAAGGCCCCTGTCACGGAGTCCCCGGGCGATGCTCTGGAACTGCTCCCCACAAAGCCAGTCAGGACTTTGGGGAGCCTCCTCTCCCTCGGAGCAGACCGTCTTCAGGGCAAGAAGCTCACACGGCTTCACCTCCTGGGTCTGACCTTGGAGCATTCAGCATCCTCTGCCCCTCCGTGCGCTTCCCACAGCGAGTCCGCCCCGGCGGGGTCCTGGGGAAGCCGGAGGGTCCTGCACCCCCACTTCGCAGTCAGACGTGACTCTCAGCCAGCCAGTAACACAGAGGTTTATTAGATGACAGGAACACGGTCTAAAACAGAGTTTGTAGGTACAGCGGTGAACGGGACCCCTCAGCCAGGTCCATTCTGGGGCCCAGCGAGCCAGACACCCGCGTCTGCACTAACTTCCTGTCCCCAGCCAGCTCCAAACTGACACCACTTCCAGCCCCTCCTTCTCTGCTGAGTTCCTGTCCCAGGCCAGGAGGTCACCTGCTCTCTTTGTTCACCTTTAGCTATTTCCTTGCAGGGGGAAAGGCCCCGGCCATTTGTTGCCACGATACAGAGTGTCGGCCATTTATGCACACTGGAGACTTAAGAAATGCATAGGGGAAACTGAGGCACCCACACTGGATTCAGAGGAAAGATTAAGAACAGTCCCACTTGCGTCTCAGCCCCGTGCCCCATTTCCCGCCCCCCTGAGCCAGCCAGTCCCTGCCCTGGGGCCGGATGGGAGCCGGCGCCCCCTAGAGGGGAAAGGCCCTGTGTCAATCACTCCCTCCTGCGCTCTCTCTCCCGGCAGGGGTGACCGTAGCGGCCAAGGGTTATTTCGACGCCCTGGTGAAGCTGGGGGAATTGGCCAGCGACAGCCAAGGGTCCAAGGAACTGGGTAGGTGATGCCTGGGACAGAGGGCTGGGTGCGGGGAGGGGGCTGGGCCGTCTGCTCCAGGGCAGATCCACGGGCCCATCTACCCCGGTATCCTGCCTCCTCCTTGCCCCCGGATCAGAGCTATGGGCCCAGGGCCCCTGGCATCCCGCCCCCCACCCACCCCCCAGATCTCCGTGCTGGGGGGTTCCTGCTGCAGGAAGATGTTGTTTTCCTGCTGGAAGCCAGGATTTCCTCCCATCTCCACTCCCCCATCCGGGGCTGGGCCGGCCTTGGACTGTGTGGGGGCAGGGGAGTGTATCCGTGTCCTGAGAATTCCCCCCTCCCCCCCACCCCACCACTACCATAGCTCAAGGCCCAGCCGTCCCCCTTCGCATTGCCTAGCAACCCCCACCCCCAGGTTCCAGCTTTAACCCTTCACGGCCTGGGGGGCCAGCTCCCCCCCACACACTCTGCTGCCAGGGCCTAAATGTCCCTCCCCCAGGGTGTGACCTGCCTGGGGGTGGGAAGGGGGAGTTGAGAGGCTGGGGGGCTCAAAGAGGCGGTGGGGTGGAGTGAGGGGGGTGAAGGGGGGATTGTGTCCCTCTGCCTCTGGGGGAGGGGGCCATGGTGCACATTGGGGTTGTGTGCATGTGGGGCGGTGCATGCAGGGGTGATGAACCGGGGTGGGGGAGTGTAGCAGGTGGTGGGTGTCTGGGAATTTGGAGAGGGGATTGTGGGTGTGCAAATTGTGGCAGGTGTGTGCAGGTTGTGGGAGGGGTGTGTGTGTGGTGGGGGTGCAGATGGTGGGAACCGGAAGGTGGGTGTGTGCAGATGGGCAGAGTGTGAGTTGTAGGGCAGTGTGGGGGTGACCGCGGGGAGCCCCCACATTGTGTGACCGGCTGTGGGGGGGAGCCGGCCCCGCTCGCCAAGGCTAATGTGATGGTGCCAGGCGTGTGCGGGCGATGTGTGTTAACAGGTGGGGGGCCCTGCTCACACGCGTGTGGGAAAGGTGAGCCTGGCCCCGGGTGAGGGGGGCAGATGGGACCAGGGGATTATGGGATGGATTAACGCCCCCCCCCCCCACACACACCTGTCGTTTCCCCGTCCCCCAGGGGACACCCTGTTCCAGATGGCCGAGGTGCATCGCCAGATCCAGGTGCAGCTGGAGGAAACGGTGAGTATCCCTCCCCCCCCCCGGCATCACGTTATCCCTCCCCCCCCCGGGTTACCCTCCCCAGCCCCCAGCTAGCTCCCCACCTCCCCAAAGCCCTGGGGCGCCTCCCACCCGCCCTCGCTGCCTTCTCAGCCCCCCCCACGAGACACCCCCCGCACCCAGAACTGCTCATTCACGGAGAACAGTTGGGGGGGTGGGACCCTGGGTTCTTAGCTGGGGGGGGGATGGGATACCATGGGGGGCACAAGGGGAGAGGGGATACCGCGGGGGTTGGGGTGACATGAGGGGGGGATATCATGGGGGAGGTGTACTGGGGGGAGGGGAGTCCCTTGTTCACTGTCCCCCTCT